CTACTAGGAATGAGGGCCTCTGTTACATTTGCCCCGTGTTACAATTGTCCCCGGTCTCCTATATATTGTAACAATTCAATTCAAATTACGTACGAGGTGCAACGCTGTGAAGAGAAGGGCAGACGAACAGAAATGAAGCGCCGCCTGACTGCGCGCGTATTGTACGCGGGTTGTGACGCGCGTTCAAATGTCATGAGTATTCGGTTGGTAACACGGTGACGTGTGCTTGTATTGTGTCATAACTTGGGCTGTAACTTGGTTTCGCGTGCATTAATATAGAGCTCATTTTCTCACAGTTCTGCGTTTTTGACATTTGTTCAAGCAACGTCAGAATTAACACGAACTGAGTAGATGGCATTATACCACGATAATTAAATAAAAACTCGTCATGGTGTTTTCTACCCATTTATTTTAAAACAAAAATCATAATCGATCGACCTTCGCGTTTTTTACCGAAATATTTTGATAAAAACTTAAAATACACATTACAACGCCTAGGCTTTTGTTACCACGGTGCCAAACAACTTACTCAAAGTCAGGTTCATGTCTACTTATAATGGGGGATATTTTTTGTATATATGCTATATATATTTATATTATATGTATATATGTAATCCATAAGATTGCCATTAATTACCAAAGGCGCCTACATGTATTTTAAGTTCATCACAAAATGACGCAAAGAAATGAACAAACTATACATTCTCTCATCGTTCAATGGTCTGGCATTTTAACGGTACACTACGTAACATGACTCACGCTCGTCTAAACAATTAAACATTTTGTAAAGTTCGATGATAATTAATCTGAGTAACGTTTCCGTAACAAACGTGTGTTTGACGTATTGTAAGCAAAGTATGCTAAATAGGTAACACCGACACAGTAAGCACATCCAATGTGTCAAACAATCCTCGAATCAAATGTGCAATCAATGGCACTTAATTGGCATATATGTTAGAAACGAAGAACACTACTGTGATTACACTACGCCAAATATGAATTATGGTAAAGAATAATACACCGAAGTTCCCATTGAAATTTGGCCTTTATAATATTATTAAGATTATAACAAACTCAACACGTACAACATTTGCGTCTCGTTATGGCTGTCATAAAATTAAGGCAACATACCGCCACACAATGAATGCATATACGCAGTCTCTTTCTCTCTCTCTCTCTCTCTCTCTCTCTGTCTATCTATCTATGATCTCTCTTCCCCTCTCTCTCTAAGCTACTGATTTCCCAACTTGGTTTTGAAGGCCGTATTTGGCGAGCGCATGCATGTCGCCTAGCTACGCTCATACATTCCTGTCGTCTTCACTCGCGCGCCTGGCAGGCGTGACTATGTCAGCTGGACACGTGATCCTACCATGTGGATATCATAGATGTCAAGAGCTAATAAATTACAGTGTCTAACGGGAAAACGCGCCAATAGTGTTATTTTACAGGAAATATTATTACATTTTAATGCAAGTATATGTTTGGTTCAGGCATTCTTTTTGGTAACACAGATGTAAGCCTAAAGCGGGGGACAGTCCAAGTCAGATCATTGTCACTTTTACCTAACAATGTTACAGAGTAACCAGCTTAGGAAAACACCGTTAGTGTTACAGGTGTAAATGCTTCACAGCCTGAACAGACATCTGAAGGAAACATAAATTAAGAACAGTGAATGATGTTGGGTTGTTGAATATCTCAACTATGGAAGAAATCTCATGCTGTATCCATAAAAGGTCCACCAGACTGTCAGTATCGGGAGTCATTCAAAAATCGAAATAGGTATTGTTGAACGATTGGATTTCATGCCAAAAATGGTAATGGTGAAAAAAATAATCAGGAATCCTTACGGGAATTAGTATACACTCCAACAACGGGTTGTATTTACTGCATTGTCGGCAAGCTCTATTTAACATAATAAACAGCACTAGTGTCTTGTGGGTGTCCTAACTGGCACAATTATACGAGAAATCAGTCATGAAAGCCCTGAAAATCATAGCACAGCTGACATGCTTAACTAGAAAACGTGGTTTAACCTTACATTCACAACTAGTCAAACAGATAAAACAGAGCAACAGTACCGGAGGTATGTGTTTGAGCGTGTTGTTACACATTGCCAGAGCGTGGGATACCTTTCAGGGGAGACAGTGAAACACTTGGCTCATCGTGTAATGGCAATACCTTGGCTACATTAGCTTGATTAATTTCTGTCAAGTCACATAAAACAATATGGAAGCAGATGTTCTGGGATTCCTTCATATTTGTATAAAACAATATACATGTGATGAATTTATTCAGTTTAAGACTATGCAAAGTACACCAATTTACACAAAGTAATTCAAAATAATATTTTATTAAAAAAATAATGAAATCACATATTGTAATTAACACTGGCACTGCAGGAAGTAAAAATATTTTGGGCTAAAAGAGGAATACAAATGTACTTTTATTTTTTCAAAACATTTTTACTGAATTTAATGAGCAACATTGTAAAGTGAAATATCCACCCAATTAATATTAAAACGCTGTAACTTCAATTTCAAACTAATCTGTAATTTAAAAAAAAGTTAATTAAACCTTCAATGATTTGAATTCATCATCCAGGTCATCATAGTTCATCAAAGTCCTCCATACCTTCTTCTGGAAAATCGCCAACGGTTATTTGTGAAGGTCGGATAAAACGTCCATACTTTGGTGCGCATTCAAAATACCTCTTTCCTTGAACACTGCCATTATTTTTACCCATTGGTTCATCAAGTTTAACACCCACCCATACACCACGTTGAAACTCAACTGGTCCAACAAACATTACAGTACCCCTCCTTTGCGGTTGTCTGGACATGGAAACTTCACACCTGTCATCTATTTTTATATTCTCCGCAAGTTGCTTCTCATTTTCTTCTGCTAGTTTCATCTCTCTTTCTTTCTTTTCTGGATCCTCATATATGCCAAGTTTGTGTTTTTCCTTGAATGCTTTTACAGAATCAGAGCGCTTTGCATATTCCTCATCGGTAAGTTCAAACTTGTGCACCTTAAATAAAAAAGAAGGCAATTTTAAGTACACGTTAACTTTTTTAAACTAGAAAGGGCAGTTGTCGCCAACTACATGTATCCCCCGTGATCTAGTATGAATGAAATATCTCTGTAAGGACGTAGAAGGTAGGTAAAGTTAAATAAGTCCCAAAGACAAAGGTTTGTTACACAACTCATCTCCCCAAGATGTGTAAGTATACGAAGTTTGCTCGCGCTAGGTCAATTAGGGGCCCAAGTTATAGAGCGGAAGGCAAATATGATGAAGGTCAAGGTCAAGGTCAATGTCAAATAAAGGTTGCAGTGACCTGGTTTCGGTACGCGACACATCTTCTCCCCAAGATGTGTAAGTATACCAAGTTTGGTTGCGCTAGATCAATTAGGGGCCAAATTATTGAGCGGAAGGCAAATATAATCAAGGTCAAGGTCAAGGTCAAATAAAGGTCGTAGTGACCTGGTGTTGGTACGCTGCGCACCTTCTCCCCAAAATGTGTAAGTATACCAAGTTTGGTAGCGGTAGGTCAATTAGGGGGCAAGTTATAGAGCGGAAGGGAAATATGATCAAGGTCAAGGTAAAGGTCAAAAAAGGTCGCAGTGACCTGGTTTTGGTACGCTGCGCACCTTCCCCCCAAGATGTGTAAGTATACCAAGTTTGGTAGCACTAGGTAAATTAGGGGCCGAGTTATAGAGCGGAAAGGAAATATGATAAAGGTCAATGTATGTTAATAAAGGATAACTTGTATCTAGTAGAGATGATATCTCTGATTCTCATCACTTTTCCAAGTTTTCTTGTTCCAGTTTAAAAAAAAAAAACTGTTCAACCGATGATCGAGTATAATCGATGATCGTGCATCACTAATGTAAAGTGTATAAATTTGTCTTCTATCTTTTTTCTGATGTGGTTGGTGTCAGTGCAGTCATAGAGTAAGTGGAGTTCATCATCTATTGACCCGTTATTGCATTGGAAACAGAATCTAAGATTAGCAGGGATGGATTGGTGACGGCCTTGTTCAATCCTTAGGTTGTGATCGCTAAGCCTTAGTTTGGTTAATGCTCTTCTTGCTTGTTTGGAA